GTGGGATTCAGGAGTTCCTCAAAGTCTTCCTTCCATCGCCCAATTGCATCCTCACAAGAGGTCAACAGGTCCCATCTTTACTGTACACAGTTTGGATGGTTCCCCGTTCCCCCTTGCGGTTTGGTGGGCTGGTGATCTCATCACTGCTTTTTGCAGATGATGTGGTCCTGGTGGCATCATCATCATTCAGCACTCACTGGATCAGTTGGCTGCAGAGTGTGAAGCGGCTGTGATGAGGATTAGCACCCCTAAATCAGGTACCATGGTTCTCAGCCAGAAACTGATAGGGTAGCGCAGTGTCTCCCAACCCTCTCTTGGGAAACACTGGGGTAGCGAATGAGTCCATACCCCAATTGAGGGAGTTCAAGTACCTCTGAGTCTTGTTGGCGAGTGAAGGGGACAGTCGAGTGGGAGATTGGCTGGAGAATCAGAGCAGAGGGGCATTATTGCATTCGCTCTACCGCACCGTGGGCTGAGCCGGAAGGCGAAACACTCGATCAACTGCTTAATTTTCGTTCCTACCCTCACCCATGGTCACGAAGGCTGGGTCATGAACAAAATAACTAGATCCCAGGTACATGCGGCCTTAGAGATAGGGTTAGAAGCCAAGTCATCTGTGAGGAACTCAGAGTAGAGTGCTGATCCGTTGCATTGAAAGGAGCCAGATGGATGGATGGTGATGGATGGATGGATGAAACAAAGGGGGTGAATTAGGACCTCTGCATAATCCAAAAAATATCTAATTTTAGATATGTTGCATCGGTGAAAAAGGCTGGTCTTGGTAATTTCTTTTATTTGCTGATCAAAAGAAAGGGTAGAATCAAAGGTCATCCAAGATTCTTGGCTGTCAATCTTTGAGAAGTCACACACAGTTGTCAAGAGTTATTTAATAAAACTGTTATCTATGTGGATTGGGGCCAATGACTAGCATCTTATTTATATCTGAACCTGAAAGCAGGAAATGACATGACATTTTTCACAGCAGACAAGCAGGCATTTAACACATGGATAATGATCATAATGCCTTTTCAGGCACATAAATCTAAGTATCATCAACGTAGCTTGAGAGAAGAGGAGCAAGAACAGAGACCAGAGGTAATTCATATTTTACATCATGAAATGTAGATAGACTGTGGTATTATAGGAAACACTGTGGCTTGTCTACACAGGAGTATCAGGCAAGTTTTTCATTTGTCTGTCTCACACATGTCTCACACATGAGATACACTCCTGTTTTAATCAATACAGATGTCTACACAGGTAAAGGCTTGCATTTCACTGGCTCTATGCATGCGTACATGCAACCTGAAGTCTATTAACTGCAGTGATTGTCGCTTGGACTCCTGCCAAACACAGGTGACCTAAACTCAATAGTAATGCCAGTAGGCATTATTATAATTTTATTTCTTAAATTAATTTAGTGCTATTGATACGTACAGGTACATTGTTTATCTTGTTTTATGAGTTAGAATCAGACAGCTACAGATGGAAATAGGTTCGAAGAATGGTGTAAGAGTTGATTAGATGTAGATTAATCAGTAGCAAGTTCTTTGTGCAGAGGCAGAGACAAAGATGTGTCCTTAGGCCATTTATAGTACCTTGCTTAGAGTTCACTGCGCATGCTGTCTCTGTACAGACCTGCCGGGCTGAGCTCACCCTTCATTCTTTACATTCTTCCCTCCTCCGTACCCTCCTGTCCATCCCTCCTTTTTCTCTCCCATGATCCCGCAGGGAAACCCTTCCTGCAGACTGGTTACAGTGTAGGTAGATATGCTTGGAACAGGCAGGAGAGCCTGGTATTATTTTACTTATATGTGCTTATATTCTTTAGTACTGTCATGTCTTTCTCACACACACACACGCCAGAACTGTATGTTTGCTGTATAGTTCACTTGTTTATTTTTAACATCTGAGACAACAAATTATTAATGTCTGAGTGTGTAAGCACATCTCTATCTCTCATAATAGTATTAGAATTTTAAAATAAACATAGCTCTCATCACTTTTCGCTTTTGCCAACATATAGACATAATCTGTTGGATGCAATGTACATGTTTATGCCTCTAACTGCTACCTCTGAAAAATATTCTTTTGCATACATACAGCATATACAGTGCCTTCCTTGTGTTCAACTTAAGGGATAATTGTAAGGAATGTAGCTTAAATCTTTCACCTTCTGTTTTATACAGGTGTGACTGGGCCTCACAACTCCTGTTTCATGTCACCACCACATTGACCCCACTTAGCTTATCAACATATTGGTGGAAAAACATGTTTTCCAAAACAAAGCCTACTGCAACACATGAGGGGCAGTGTTTTACCGTGTGTGTGTGTTACATATGTATTTCTTGCACTTGCATGTATAATGTGTCTTTCTGTCCTTCTTGGGTCCTAATACTGAGTTGAATATTTAGTTCAGGAATTTTTCTCACATCTCACACATCTCAAATTCAAATTTCAGCTTTATTGGCATGAATGTAACAACAATATTGCCAAAGCTATATATAAATGACATAAGAACAATTAATTTCATACATTTCATTAAATAAATAAATCAGTAAAAGTTGTGTTTGTGTGCGTTAATAAAAATAAAATAATAATAAAAATGTATATTAAAAATAAAAGTAAATAAATAAAGCAGTAAGCTTGTGTGTGTATTAATAAATAAATAAATAATTAATAAGTTAAAAAGAAAACTAAAAAAAATCTGTATCAAATGTGAAATTTAAAAACAAAACTACTAAAATATCAAACAATCAAAATAATAATAATTAAAAAAATTTTAAATCAGTCAGAGTTTCCTTCTCTCTCTCTCCCCCTCTCACACACACACACACACACACACACACACACAATATTGGTCAAGGTAAGAAAGTCAAACATCTAACATGCCACAGCATCTCACACTTCAGGTTCTGCAGATGGTTGTTCTGTGGCACCAGCATCCTCTTCCAGAATCCTTCTCACGATGGCTGCAGAAGCTGGGCTTCTTAGGATATGCTGTCTTCCTTTGTTGTTTGTATCCAGATGACAAAAGCATTTTAAGCTGAGAAGCCCAAGATGTTGAAAAATATCACAAGTGGCCAGCGTAGGGTTCTTCTTTTGCAGCTGTTGCCAGTCACCAGCTCGTCCATGTTGTCCACTCCTCCTTGTGTGGCATTATAATCTGTGATTTGTTTCTTATTTTTGAGGAGTCCACATTATTGCTTGTTTTTGGCATGTAGCACACCAAGGACGAGTCGGCTGAGAACACAAACTTGGCAGAATTGACAGGCCTGTTCTTTTTAGTGAACAGCTGAGGTGGGAGCTCAGGCTTGTTCTTCTATACTGTCCCTACCATTGCCAGCTTCCTCTTTAGGAGCTCCTGTCCCAGCTTAAGTTAAAAAGTTATCCCATGTGATGATGTGTCCACCGAGTCCCTATGTCATGTCCAGGACAACTCTCATTCTTGGTTCTTCTCAGGGGCTCCTCCATCTGGATTCCCTGTATGCACTTGCAAGTTCTATGCATATAATGATGCAGCATCAGAGGCAGCACAAATCTTTATTGCTCATTTTGTGGGTTTAGATCAGGGGTATTCAATTAAAATTCAAAGAGGTCCAGTAAGAGAAAATTTCCTGAAGCAAAGGTCCGGAACACCATTTAGTCTAACCTGCATTATCATTCAGTTAAGTATGTTTTTAGTCACTGTCAACTGACAGTCAAATCAAATAATATTTCAACAATAAAAACTCAGTTTTCACATCAAACTGGAGAGATAATAAATAATAACTAGGCCACTCTAATAATAAATTCTAAATTTAAGTAAACTTTCAGAAATGAAATAAAAAGTTTAGCTTGAAAAGACTGAAGTGTATTCTCGACCAACACTCAACACATCTTAACAAATGAACAGCTGTAATGCCTCCTCTTCTCTTTCATTCCCACTTCCTACTTTCTCTTGTTCAGTGAGAAACATGAGCTCTGGCTAGGACTGGATATATATGAGATTTTGAACTGCCCGTGGGAAGAATGTACATGTAAGAATCTGTACATTCTTGGTTAAAAGCCATGTGAAATCTCTTTTCTCTTTCGTCTCCTCTCTCCCTGTGTGTATCTCACTGGCGGACTCACAGTGCTTTTTGGAATGCACAGATTTGATTGGCTGCGCAGCATCACATCAGACGATTGGAACACATGCAATTGGTCTGTGAGTTTCCTGTACCGCTAAACCAGTACAGTAAATGCTAGAAAAGCTGCGTGGGTTAAAATAGAAACGCTCCGTCACGAGATGGTAACTCTCAATAATAAATCGTCTGTAGGTCTGGGTCCAGGGAGGACGACGGCTGGGTCCGGATCCGCACCGTGGTCCGCCAATTAGTGACCTCTGGATTAGATTGTATGTAGTGCCTGAAGGGGCAGCGGCCCTTAAAATGGCATCGGCTGTTCATCAACAGCATCATTAGGGCCAAGGTTGTAAAACAGAGGGAGGATTAATGTGAAACTTTTCCTGGGACATTGTGACACAGAAAAGTTCTCTGCAAATTTCTGCATCCCACTTCTGTGGATTCCCCTTTGGATCTGAAAACTTTGGGCCTTGTTGTATGAAGTTTTAAAGCCAAAGTTTATGAGGAATGACACAGCAGCTGCCGGTGTTTGTTGTCCTCTCTCAGTGTGGCTGTGCGCAGATGATACGTAGCTTGTGTTATGTAGGTAGGTTGTAGGTAACGCAAGGAGGGGAATAACAGCAAGCTCAACAGACGTTTCCTAAAAATAAACATTGTTCAAGAGTCCCGCACCGCATGTCCGAGCCAAGTCTGAAGTCTTTTGAGGACGAGTCTCAAGTCAAGTCTGAAGTCACTGTGTGTGCAACTAAAGTGCGACTCGAGTCGAGCGAAACTTGAGTCCCCATCTCTGCTCTGCATCACTAGATGTTACAGCTAATGTTCTACATTGTTCTCCCCTCGCTATTTGAACTGAGCACAGCTAAGCAGACAGATAAACTCCTAGAGTCCTATGTGACAGGTGTATTTTCTTCTTTATTGAGACGTTCCCTTCAAATATCTACAGAGTGAAAGTTAAAGAAAATAACAAAACATAGTTTTCAGGTGCTAAAAAAGGCTCTGGTATGCTACACATTAATGCCATGTTCTGTGTGGACACATTTGCATACATTACTAATACATGCAAAGGAGAATTGCAAACATTTGGCATATAGATAGCAACAAGATGAAACGCTAAGAAATATGTTTGAATAAACAAATTCATTACCATAATCACTACGTAAGAAGTAAACAAATGCAAATTCTAAAGCTACATATAGCAGAGCTGAGTACATGCTACTAGCATGACTTTAACATGAACTGCTATGTGGTAAAACACTTGCAATGCCAAAATAGTCATCGATTATCCCTTTAAGGACATTTTAATCACTAAAAATACTCACAGGCAATGCTTTCCATCAAGCAACAAAGAAGGATGGATGCAGATTCAAAATAATGATCCAACCTCTGTCTCTGTTGGCCATAACTAAACATGTGAGACTTACTTCCTGTTTCCTGGCTGACCTACAACCTTACTATTGGCTAATGCAACACGACATGAATGCAAACAGCAACAGCCCCACCTGCTGGAATGAATTAATCTTGACCAGCACATACATGTTACCTGCTATTTTGGAAAGGAATGTAGCAAACATATGAAATTCACCCAGCGGATTTTTTTTTTTTTTAGAAAGGTCAAACTTAGGGGAGATTGTAACAGAGGTTAGCTCTGGTTAGCTCACGGGAGACTCTCGTTTTTCATTGTCCTCTCATGGGTCACATTTCTCTTGAATTATGACAAATGTTCACAACTTTCTATTCTTTTCTTTACGGTTTCTTGCACTGGACAACACAACTGCCGCACAACTCACTCCCTCTTTCTCTCCCCACTGTGTCGACTCGGACAAATAGCATGCACATAACTCAGAAGAGAGCTCGCGGCCCCGTGGATTTCAGGTGTAAGAAAGGGAATTTGTCAGTAGATGATAGCAAGGTAGAGGAGAGGAGTGCCACATGTCTAATAATGGCTTTTGTGAGGCTTTTTTGTTCACCGCGGCACCGTCTACAGCAGGACTGTGACAACAGATGCTCTAGAGTTGCATCAATTCCGACCTGAGTGTCCAGACTGAGGTCGCATTTAAAAAGATCTGATCTGTATTGGATTTTGACCACACATGGAAGTGGCCAAATTCCGAACTGGAAAAGATCAGATTCCATGCGACTTGGCCTGTTCACATTGTTATAAAAAGATCAGATCTGAGTCACATATGAGCAAAAAATCGGAATTGGGTCACATTGGCCTGCAGTCTGAACGTAGCCAATGTTGCAAACTTGTTCGTGAATAGTAGTGTCACAGTCTACAGTTCTGTCTGTTTCTTGTTTTATTTGTAAGTGTCTGTTGTTTGGGTATAGCTTTGTTGTGTTTCTTGTCATGTCCTGATTATCCCTATTGTGTCTCACCTGTTCGTGCACCCTCCCTGCTTGTGTATGTATCTGTATATATTGTCCTCTATTCAGTCTTCACCACAATGTTGTTTGTCATGCATGTTGTTGCAAGTGTCGTTATGGTCATTACTGTTTGTTTCTTATCTTCTTATCCTTATCTTTTCGATTACTTTGTGGAACACCTTGTTTTGTTTGGATGGATTAAATTTGGATGGTTGGATATCTGTGGACTTATTTTTGTTTAACTTCTTCTTCTATTTTGGGGTTGCTTGGTTTTGGAAAACCCTGTTAATTGGACATTGCATATGTAAGTTCACTTTTTGGTTTTTGGTTTAATAAATTTGGAGGGCATCCTGACATAACCCTTGTCCTGCCAGAGTACACTGCACCCATTGTGACAAATAGCAGAGACAGATGTTACGTCCCAAGGTCTAGGGGTGTCCTGGATGTAACATAAATGCGTGGCCTCCCACTCTTCCCATTCCCAAACAAGGCCAGCACACAATAAATACAATTTAGCAGTTTTTATTATACATCGGAGATGAGCAGTGCCCAAAACAACAACCAAAACACTAAGAAAACCTAAATCTTTCCTAAACCCAAAACCAAATGGTAATGGTGGAAAAGACAAAGCTCTAAAACTAGGCTTCTAAGTCCAAAAACAGGAGAAAACGGTGCAAACAAAAAAAAAGGGCTTCTCACTCCTACTCACTGCTAGTAGCTGACACAATATAGCTACGACAAAGGAAATTGCTTCATAGCAACAAAAATGGCAAAGCTAACAAAACCAGGTTGTCATAAGACAATCAGAAGGACTACGATAAACTACTTACAATCTAAGTAGTCACAACCGTTCACTATGTACAATAAACACAGACATAACACACAGTCCTCAGGCAGGTTGGGAATGGCAGAGAGAGGGGGAGAGTTCCTGTCAGTGGGGCTTAAGGTGGTTGCTGTCATCCAGGTGCCCAATCAAGAGGCTCCAATCAGCTCAACCGGACCAATCCAGTGTGTCCACCTGTTCTCCAGTACCTGCATACACTCACACACACACTCTAATGGAGGAGAACAGCTGAGAGTGCCGGGAGAGATAAACAAACAACAAAATATGACCCCAGGGTCATAACACAGAGCAGAAACAAAAAACTCACACACATACAGACACAAACACACACACTAACAGTAGGCCATGTACAAGGGAGACAGAGTGAAGGGACCAGCACCTCCACACTTTATATTACCCATGGGTCTAGTAGACCCAAACACCATATGTGTAATATCAATGTGTACTGGGGGTGTACAGTGTGAAGTCATTGAAAATGTGTTTATATGTTCTTCACAGAAAATGAGCCAAGGCCAAGGAGTCTGAGGTTGGAATAATAAATCGCATCATTTTTCTTTTGCACATTGAAAACAGGTCCCAAAGACCGCACAAGGCTTAAATTTGCAGATGCTGTTCCCTGTTCTTCTAGTTAAACTCAAAGGTGCTTTATTGATCTTGATTATTAGATCGAGTATTAGATCGAGTATTAGATCGAGTATGGAAGCAAATTATATTCGGACACACAGAATGCCATCTCTTTTTGATGAGACAGACAGAGGTGATCAGGTGCAGATTAAGTGGAGAATCAGTGATTAGGACAGATTTGAACATGTCAGACAGGGAGTGCCAAGACTTCCCTGATACTACAGTGTTCAAACCTGCCCATGCTGAAGGTGTGTGTGTGTGTGCAAATGAACTGTATATGCACACACATATACATTCATATATATATATTTTCCAAGTATGTATTTCTGCAGACAAGGAACCTCCTATTTGATAATACCTAAGTCACAGACACTTCCAGAGGCAAAGTATTTGTCTTGATTAGGATGGTCACTAATGTCCTCACAAAAGGGGCTGAATATGGCGAGGCTTTTTTTTTTCACTTCTAACCTTCCATACAGCATGTTAGCATGCTAATATTAGTTAGTTAGCACAAAACACAAAGTACAGCTGTGGCTATTGAAGATGTCATTAGTTTTGCATATATTTAGCTATGAAAGTATTGAATTTTGACCTGGAGGTTGCACTAAATAAAAGGGCAGGGAATAACCATAGTGATCACAGTTTATCCTGAGGAAGATATGAAGGTGGTGATGAAATTCCACTGAAATCCATCAGTTTCACTCAAAACCACATATCAGCCTCATGATAGCTCTAAATAAAAAGCCAGGGATCACTAAAGTCATTAGGTCTCATCATCGGGGAACCATGAATGTCGGTCCAAACTTTTGTGCCAATCCATTAGATATTTTACAGAATTAGTTGAAACCTTTACCTGCTAGTGTGAAAAGTCAGGGAAATCACCAAATTCAGTAGGCTTTATCTTCTGGGGACCAGGAATGTCTGTGCAAAATTTAATGGCAATCCATTCAGTGTTGTTAAGATATTTCAGTCTGGACTAAAGTGATGGAGCAACTGACTGACAGACAAAACAACATTCCCACCCTACTAGAACGGCTAAAAGTCAAAGCTGACTATTAGTATGAGTCAGGACTCGCTTAATGTTACATTTCCTACAGATCATACTAGTGTTTAGCCACTAAATGTTGCAAATCAATAAGACATGGTTAACAGATCACCAGAATTCTTATCAATTGTTTCATTAACTTAGACTTTAGCTATATTTGAATCTATCATTGTGACATTATGATCACTGCAAAATAAGTCTTACCGCACAGATTATTAGATACAAGACGTGTGGAATAATGTTTGTGATCTCTAAACCATGTGGCAGGCATGTCTCAGATTAATTTGTCATTGCATGTTTTCACCATAATGGATTTACATTATGTTTTTTTCACTGTATTACTGAAATGTCGCATGTAAAATGATCTACAGAATGTAATGTGTGTGCTAGAATGAGACAATTTATGTCATTGTGTGATGAGGTGTACGAAACAATCCCCCCTTCATCACCAGCACCTGAACATGATGACATAATATTTGACCATGTTACCTGCACCAGATGTCTTATGAACAGCATTCCTTTTTGTATGAGGCAGTCACTGCTGGTATTTTGCCACCTCTCTTTACCACTGACATGATCACACCTTCTGGCTGGATGTGTATGTGTGTGTGTGTGTGTGTTTGTTTGTGAGGGAAATGAGAATTCTGTCTGATGTAGCGAGAAGTTATTCATCTTACGTGATGTGCACAATATAGTGATACTTACACCAGACATCTGGAGGACTGCACTTTTATTGGGGTTATGACATAAAGAGTATGCTCTTACATGGATCACCAAACAATGTGTATGTGCATGAGTGTGTGTGTGTGTGTGTGTGTGTGTCCTTGCAGGTACTTGCATTTATTCTCTGGTGTTTGTGTAATCCCATTCATGTACGCGCGTGCCAGTGTGTAGAGAACAAAGAGATCAGACACAGAGAGGGAGCATTTAAGAGTTCGCCTACCTCCCAGTGTCACAGCAATAGCCTTCATCTCACCCAGAGAAACCACAACAGAGGATTGGGGGGATACCTCACTGCCACATGACTGATAGCGCCTGCCTAAAGGGGAATTCCACCCTTAAACAGATTTTACGCACAGGTGGGACATAAGGCAGACACCTACTCTTTCTAGTAGTCTTTGTGCAGCTGGCAACCAAACTGAATTCTGTTTTACATAAAAAAGCCATTGTGAAGGGGCAACTGATGTTTGACGATTTGACTCCAGGTACTTCATCACTTCATCTCAGCTAGTCTAAATAATTGTAATACAATTAAAGTTTTAACTGTTGGGTGGAGAGAATAAGCTTTTTAGACATTAACAGTAACACAAACCCAAATGAGCTGCTTTTAATTATGGGTATTTGGCCTGTTACAAAGTTTACACAAGACTCTGCTTTACTAAAGTCATCAAAGGAAAATGAGTGAGAAAGATTCTTGTGGATGCCTGTTTATAGTGATTTTACTTGCACTAAGCCATATTATCTCAATATTTAGCACTAAACCAAAATAAGATTATTTTTGTGTAGAAAGGCTCAAACATCAAATGAGCCACTAAGTATGTTTCCTATTC